AGTATGTCCTGTGAGTATTGAATTCTCTAAGCCTCCTGATGAGCTTTCCTCTTTGGTCCCTAGACTTTATGGATTTAAGGAATATTACCTATTAATTGGAATAAAATATATTTAAAGAGTCACATATGCAGGTGTTGGCATTGGTAAACAAGTTGATAGATTAGTGATTCTCAACCCCCAGTCTGTAGTACACTAGTGTGCCGTGAAACATTGAAAAAATCGTGAAAAAACACCAGGCACATGTTTCACACTAAATAACCCGCATAAATAGTTGAATAGAAACATTGAAATAAAGTAAGTTCATATTTGTGTTTGTATATATATATATATATATATATATATATATATATATATATATATATATATATATATGTGTGTGTGTGTGTGTGTGTGTGTGTGTGTGTGTGTGTGTGTGTTTGTGTTTTTTTTTAAATCTATAGTTTTATTTCATAACATTTTATTTCATAATATTTCATACCCTTTAAAAACCTTGCTAAGTGTACCGTGATATTTTCATTTGCTCCTATGTGTGCCGTTGCTTATAAAGTCTGAGAAACTCTGTCCTAACTTATCGTTTCTTGAATATATCATAACAGACGATGAAGAGTGTGTTACATACAACAATATTCAATGCAAAAGGATTGACCAAATAAATCTCCATTCCCTCCCCCCCCCAAAAAAAACCCCCTAAGCACCATGGAAGAAATGTAATGTGTATATGATGGAGCTATCAGGGTATTATTAATTTCTTTCTTTTTATGTGTCATGTCCTTTCAGGATGTAGGCAATCATGGCTCCCCACCTCCCTTTATCACTTGCAACTCTCAACAAGTTCCTTCCTTCTGCTTCCTCCCCCAGACCATATTCTGTCATTCACTTGCTTAAGTCCGCCAGGTATGTCATGCGTTGTTTTCCCTTGTCTCTCTTTCCTTCTATTCAACCCGTGAGTATCAGATTCTCCAGGTCTTCCTTCCTCATTATGTGCCCCAGAAACTTCATCTGCCTCTTCCTGATGTTAAGTATAAGCCTCCTCCTTGTTTGCATCCTCTCTAAGATCTCATCGTTGCTCGCACGCTCGGTCCATGATATCCTTAGCATCTGTCTGTAGAACCACATCTCCGTCGCTTCGAGTCTCTTCTTTATCTTTGAGGAAATCATCCAACATTCGCTACCGTAAAGAAGGACCGATGTCACGTAACAGTTCAGTATTCTTTACTTTGTTACCAAAGAATTCCTCCTGTCTCGCAATACTCTGCCCAGCTTTTGGAATGTGTCCTTGGTCATCCCAATGCGTCTACGGATCTTAATGTCGCACTTACCGTTCTCTGTCAAGACGCTTCGTAGATATTTAAACTTCCGCGTCTGCTTGATTCTAGTTTTCCCGACTTTCAGATCGCATTTCGGCCTCATCCACTTACTAACGACTATTCACTCCGTCTTCTTGTAGTTTATGCTTAGTCCCTTCTTCTCACTCTCCGTCGCTACCTTCTGTAGGAGATTTTGTAATTTCTTTTCCGTGTCTACTATCAGTGCTGTGTCATCTTCGTATCTTATATTAAGATTGTGGCCGGTAATGCTAAATCCAGGTAGAGTTTCCAATTTTCTCAGGACTGCCTCGTTGTATAGGTTGAACAGACCTATACAGCGAGGCTGGAATTAATGCAGAATTCTAAAAGATTTAAAACAATAATTTTTTAAAATTAAAATTATAAAAAAAATGAAAATAATTCTTTTAAAAATTCATTATTCATCGAATTAAGTGTCCTTAATATATCGTATTTATAAAAGCAATTAAAAGTTTTCCTGATTAAATAATGTCACAGTTTTATTGCATTTTTTATTTCACGATTCAGAGCAGATTTTCAGTAAATGGTGTCTCTGTTTGACAAAAACAAATTTATGATTTAAATTCTCCAAGGAGTCCTGCTTTTAACTAATATCAATATGAAGAGGCTGGAATTTTAATTTCTCGAAATTTCATAAAATTAAGCAAGTGGAGTTAACGAATGTAAAAAAAAAAATATATTTTACCAAAATTTTCTAAAAGAAAAAAAAATTCCAATTTTGTGAATAAGTCCTGAAAGTTTCATTAAAATCTAACAATTATTTGATCTTTGCAAGAATTTCCATTACAATGTGCTTTTAACGCCAAAAATGACGCTAAAAATCCCTATACAAATTAATCTTTTGCCTATCTACTGACGCAAGACTTTTAAGCAAAATTTCGGATGTGCTAGAAAGGATTAAAAAATTTAATAAACTAATCCACAAATACTTTGGTCTTTCCTCTTAGTCTTAATAATAACATCAACATTTTGATTTTGTTTTTATCAAATTTGGGGCTCTTTTTTCGTCGTAGTATGCATTTTTACCTTTTCTATCACATATTATCCTCTCGACACATCTACTTTGCAAAAGCTGGAAAAAAGACAACCTCTAAGATCTCTCTAGAAAAAAAGATGTTTTTTTTTTAAATAAAACTAAAAGATCTCAATAAATT